TGTGTGGCTGCACCAGAGTTGAGTTATCCATTCCCGCACAGATGGGCTATTGGTTGTTTCCATGTTCTGGCTATTAGAGAACGTGCTTGAATAAACACGGGTGTTCACACATCTGTCCTATTTGATTCTTCATTTCTTTGGGATATACACAGAGCAGAGACATTGAAAGGTCATATGGTATCCCTATTCTTATTTGTATGAGAAGGCACCGTACTGTTTTCTGTAATGGCTGTACAATTCTGCAATCCTGCAGCAATGTATGGGTATTCCAATTTCTCCACATCCTCTCCAGCATTTATTTGCTGTTGTTTTGAATTTTGCTATCAGTGTTGGTGTGATATGGTTTCTCATCCTTGTTTTAATTTATGTTTCTCTTATAGTTAATGACCATGGGAAATTCTTCATATGGTAGTTGGCTGCCTAGATATCACCTTTAATGAGTTCTCTATTCGTGTCATCTGCCAACTTTTGAATGAATTATTTGTATCTTTCTTATTGAGATTTGTATATATTTTTTGAGCTTGATGAGCCCTTTATCCAACATATAGTTGCCAAATTTTTCTTTCCCAACCTGTGGGTCTATTTTCAGTCTTCAGATGAAGTTTTTTTTATGAAGTTTTCTTATACTTTTAGGAGGACTCAGTCCTCTGTTTTGTCTTCCGTAGTGTGGATGTTTTACATTTTGTTTAGTAGTGTATTTATGCCTTGAATTAGGGCTTTCATTAGTATTTATGCTTATCATTCTCAGGATTTTATTTACAACTTTTCTGTATCCTTATAGTTAAGATGCTTTTAGCATTAGATAGTGAGATCTTTTTAAATATAGTCTAGCAACCATTGTCTTTTACTTTGAGTGCTTAGTCTAGTGAAATTTGATAATTGCTGATATATTTGAACTACGTCTACTATCTTATAGTTTTTAAATTTTTTTAAAAGGACAAAAACTTACTTAAATATACAAGAGTGCTTCAAAAAGTTCATTGAAAAATTGAATTAAAAGATAATCTTTCCGTGGACACCTGCCCCTCCTCCCAGAATAATTTATATCAGAGGACAGCACTGAATCTACAGCCCTGGGAGAGGGACATATCTGATCAGTGCACACAGGATTAAATGAAGGGGGAGGAAGGGAGAGTGGAGCACATCCTGGCCCACCAAGTCTTGAGGACGATATTCCCGCTCAGATCAGCCAATCCACAGAGAAGACCACATGGCCGACCCCACTATGAGACACAACATCCCTCACTAACCCATACCCTAAAGGGGATAACACTGGAAACACAGTGTGGGAATTC